ATAATTGAAAACATAGTTAAATACTTGCCTTGAAAATCTGGAATTAATACGTGTAATTCCCACTGCTGTAACAAAGTAGTTACAGTATCTTCAACTTGCACATCCATTTTTATTTCTTACCAAATCGTAAAAACACTCCGAATACCTGAACACGTTAATGACGACTGAGAGTACCACAAAACGTATTAATATTAGTGGACTTCCCTCTAACAAAACAAGAGTACAGTCTTACAGGTTTGTAACTGTAATAATGAAGAAAGTTTGTAACTGTAAGTTGGTAGCGAATCCTCAAAAACAGATGCTTTATCGATCGTTTTCGATGATGAAAAAGCAATTTTTGTATTAAGAAATATTTTCTATAAACGATCGATGTAACGGTGAAAACAGGTAGACAAAACGACTAAAATACATTTAAATAAAGTATTTAATAATAGTACATTTGTCCATTTAGGTAAAATATTTCATTGTTAAATGTGTATAGAAATTCAGACTAGAACAAAATAAACAAAAATTCCAAATACTTTAGGTAACTAAACTACTCAACAACTAGACTTATCAACTAGTTTCCACGATGCAGTTTCTTTTTCTAAAAATTAGTTATATCACCTCAATAAATAGATAAATTAACTACAGTAAAGCTTCGCTAATCCGAATCAATTAAAATCAGCTCAATTCAGATTATAGAAGCATGCGGATTATTGAAGTCATATTTAAATATTATCTAAAAAAGTCTTATAAATACTTATTTATAGATTTATTGTACTAGATAATATATGCAATACATGTTTTATACAGTTTATTTAAAAAAATCAAACAACGTTGTTTGTCGCATGCAGTCTTGTTTAAATTTCATGGCGCGTTGCCGTAGAATTCTAAGGGTTGTTACGGTGTTTAAATCGACTGCATTCTCCTCCGCACATTGAATACATGTACTGAAGCTTTTAATCGCATTCTCATGTTTTACTTTTAATTGCTATTAAATTAGCCGATAGTTTGTCCCAAGCATTGGCAAGCATGAACACAGCATCCTTAATAGAAATATTCTTCAGTGCTTTGAAAATATCGTCTTCCTCTATAGATAGAACATGTTCTAAGAGACTTTTCTGGTAATACAATTTCGTTAAATGAATTGCATTTTGATCCATAGGTTGGATAAGTGGAGTACAATTGGGTTGGTATAACGTAAACAAGTAACTATAAACTATAAAACTAAACGTGTTCCAACTTGTTTAAACGGCCACACAAAAAGACCGTTAATTCCGATTAGCGAATCTTCTAGTAATTCGGATTGCAAGGGACATAATGCAAATTTCACGTTTTCTAATTTTGTTCGGATTACAAAGGAATTCGGATTTGGGGGTGTTCGAATTAGCGGAGCTTTACTGTATCATAAATTTGACTAATTAGAATTGTATATGTCAGCTAAATTACGTTAGGTAAATGAATAAATTTTCTAGCATAAATGACTATTTGTCTAACATCTAAATTGATTTAGTTCAATTCTCCATATTATATTTCTCAGTGTACCTGACGAATCGTCCTCGATTCCATCGTCAACGTCATCCGATATTTGGCACCATGGTTTCACAAGGTCTGCAGCAAAAATTGAACCGAACTTTCGCTGGGTTTGTTGAGCACCTGGTACGTCTGCGTCGGAAAATGATATTTATCATTTCCCAGAGCGGTATTTACTAGATACGGTCCTTTATAAGATGGCATCATCTTTCTACATTGTCTCTAGTCTATTCAATACTAGATCTCCCTCTTAGTACTTTCGAGGTTTTTAGTACTTCCTGCCACTTCTCTCTTTCTGTGTTCGTTGTACCCTTTCGATATTTCCTATCGCGTGATCGCGTAAATCGTTTAATTTATCTATATCTGGCACGTTTTGGTCTTCTTCGAGAGCTATTATGACGCGATTTTGAAGAATGTTCCGTGCCAGAAACCCAAACAATAGTTCGTGAGGTATCTTCTGAGTAGTTCTGGTCCTCATGTTGTTTAACTTCGAGCGGGCGTGCTGTCATAAAATTTATGACAATTTTCGTTTTTATAATAGGTATATCTCCTTATGTTATGCATTTGAAAGGATTTAACACTAAAGTATTCATGTAACTATGTATTTTGAACATGATGAAAAAAAATATATTGACGCTGTCTTTATGGCAAAAGAAGATATAAAATACAATAAATTTACACATTAATAGCTGATTTACAAGGCTGTATTTATATTACAGGATGTATTAAGGGATATAAAAGTATTATAAATAGGTTTTGAGTCATACATGAAAGTTTCAGATCGTTTGGACATTTTTGAAAAATACTGGTCCGTAATGACAATTTTGTCGGAATCGAAATTTTTTTCATCTTTTCAATATTTCAATCTTTTCGGTTTATCGTGAGCTTATGGAAATAATCAATATATTTAAAGGCTTAAGACGACTAAATCTGAATGTTTACACCGAATTGCGATAACACTATGCTGTCATATAGTAATCGTTTAGTTGTTCTATTGATGTACTCTCGGTTGCAATAAATCAATTTCAGTGACGCATATGCTTTTTGTATACACTATTAACACGAGAATCCTACTTTAAATTTTCTTCAAGAATTACTCCTAAGTCTTTTGCTGATTTACTAATTATCAATTGCTTATTGTTGATTTCAATTTTCATTTTATTTTGTATTTTAATTTTAAGTTTTTTGGACCAAACAGCATTAATTCCGTTTTTTTCGGGTTGATGCAAAGGCCATGACCCTCCAAAAACCGTACCAACCTTTGCAAGTTTTCATTAATTTTTGCGCACGCCACATCCACCTCCGATTCAGTGAATGAATGGTATATTTGTGTGTAGTCAGCATACCAATGGGCACTGCAATACCGAATTCTGTCTTTGAATTGACTTGTATATATACTATACAACAAGGGAGATATCATTGATTCCTGAGGACATCCAACCTTTACAAATGCCGGCTTCGAAAGGCGACCATTTATTACTACTTGTTGTTCCCTATCAGATAAGTAACTCATCAAAAAACCTATTGCTGGTTGACTTACCCCAATATGATACAAAATTGAGGACAACATTTTATGATTCATCCTGTCAAATGCATTCGAATAATTAAGCAAACACAATACCGTTACTTTACCGCTATAGGACGCCCTCAGTACATCATCCACTATGTTAAGCAAAGCTGTAGCGCAGCCATAACTCGCCCTGAAACCAGATTACGTTTCTGGCAACAATTTATGTTTGTACACAAACGCCTGAAGTTGCTCACTCATAATTTTCTCCAGCATCTTAGACAACACCGGTAGAATGCTAATCGGACGTAAATCAACAAACGAATCTGGATTTTTTTTCTTTGGTAATGGAACTATTTTCGCCTTTTTCCAAGAGTCCGGAAATCGACCGTCTGACAAACAGCAATTAACTATGTCTTTAATTTGAGGAATTATGTGAGGGCAACAGTAATTAATCATTTTGATATTAAGTCCATTTAATCCTGTAGCGTTGCTTCTTACGCAGTTAATAACTTCCTCTATTTTAGCATCACTGACACATTCAAAATTGAAAACATGTCTTGTGACTACATTATTCATATAAGATTGATATAAATCTTTGTCAATGTTCCCATTCAGAGGAGCTATATTTGTAAAATAGTTGTTAATTTGATCCGAGTCAGCAAGCTGGTCGGAATACTGTCAGTTGTGCGACTTAAGATTCTACATTTCCGCAACGCTGTCCATGGCTTAGTTTCTAATCCCATACAATGACTAACATACGTCTTTCTTTCTTTGTTCATGGCTCCCTTTACATAATTTCTCATATCTTTATAGTATTGCCAGGACTCATTTGTTTTTAATGATCTATATTTTTTATATGCTTTATCTCGAAGCTTTTGCATTCTCCTTATTGTGTCCGTTATCCAAGGTGTTGGAGCAGCACGTTATTTAAAAGTTCGCACTGGAGCGTGAGCATCAAAAAGTGTCAGAATATTTTCCGTCAAAAACCTTACTTTATCGTTAACATCAACCATATCAAAACTTAGAAAAAAAGGAATAGCATATAGATCCTGCAAGAACCATTGATAAACAAAATTAGAAAAGATACGCCTGGTGACAGAAGCAGTCGGCTGCACCACATACTCCGCAAACAATTCGAAACAAACGATTTCATGATCAGATATACCCGTTGACGGAACAACACTAACATTCCAATGCCGTCACCGTCGGAGACAAAAACGAGGTCAATAATTGTCGAAGTGGTTTTAGTCACACGTGTGGGAGAGCTAACAATCTGAGGCAAGCCAAATGCCTTCAAAGTTGTGACAAGCTTATCCGCTTTATTGCTATGACCACTGTATAAATTCAAATTAAAATCACCCATGAGTATCAATCTATCCACTGTTGGGACAACAGTCGACAATTGTGATTCAAGTTCGGAAACAAAGTATTCTGAATCAACTCTTTGGGATCTATAGGCAACACCCACCGCGAAAACAACCCTAGAACCCTAAACCTAACCTAGACCTGCTCTATGATGTCGGAAGACATGAGCACACTAGTTAACATAAGATATCACTATGTTGCATATTCTAATTGAACTAAATTTGCACTATCACTAGAACTAACACAAGACCTAGAACTAGAATCATTCGGATTTAGCCGTCTTGAGAGACGTGCGGCTAAATATGAATGTTTCTACTTCTCGGTCTAGTGTTAGTTCTAGTATTGCACTAGCACAAAATCATTTGGGTTTAACCGTCTTGAGAGACGTGCGGCTAAACCCGAAGCTTTCTAGCTCTAGGTATAGTGTTAGTTCTAGTTTTACACTAGCACTATCACTAGAACTAACACAAGACCTAGAACTAGAATCATTCGGGTTTAGCCGTCTTCAGAAACGTGCGGGTAAACCCGAATGTTTCTAGGTCTAGCATTAATCCTAGTTTTAATTGTTATTCAGCGTTTGATTGTGGGATATTTTTATTGAACGAAAAGTTGAACGAAGACTAGACCCGGAATTAGAAAAATTCGCGTTTAGCCGTGCGTATCTTAAGACGGATGAAAAGTCAAGATTCTCATAACGACGTCACCTTTTTCCAAGCAAAACTTTTCCTCTGCAAAACTACCCAATGCCTATACTATTAAGCTATGTTGCATTTCATGAGGGACAGTGCAAATGCACAGTAGTTTCATAACTACGGTTACTGCATTCATATATTGCGATTTATATTAAATTCCCGGTATGTAGTTTGTAAATATTGTTAGATTTTAAATATTAATCGATTTCATTGATTTTATTTTGTTTTTAACAATTTTTTAATATAAATTAAATATTGTTAGTCTAGCAAGATGTGTTTTATTAAAAATAACGTAATACTTATTAATATGGACCTGATGTCATAAAATCTATGACACGCGCCCGCTCGTGTTGAGTCATGATGAATCTGTCTCGTTTTGTTGTCATTTGGATCTTTCTCCAACGTAGCTTTTATTTTCTTTATGGTTTCATCTTGAAGTTGCATCGTCAACAACATCAATTTGTACTGTTAATATGTTCAAGCTTGCTATCTTAGCGCCCTCTGATTCTGCAGTTTGACTCCTATTCAATACATCTACATGAGCCATCTGAGTTCCTGGGCGATATTCAATATTAAAGTCGTATTCTTGGAGTTTCAACACCCATCGTGCTATTCTCGGCATCAAATCTTTCTTCTTCATGATGGTCTTTAAAGAATTACAATCGCTTACCACTCTGATTTCTCAACCTAGTACGTACGTTCGAAATCTTTCTAAGGTCTCTGTAACGGCTAGAATTTCCAGTTCGTAGCTTTTATACGACTCTCCAATTCCGTTGTTTGTCGAGTGAAATAAGTTGTTGGTTTCAATAACCTTTTTGGTTCATTTTTCAGCTTTTGAAATACTATTCCAGTTCAGACAAGACAGCTTCTGGATCGTATATCGTCAAAACTGGTCTCTTGGGTAGTTCTTTTAATCTTTGCTTGTCTTGTTGACTAAGGTCTTCGTTTACGTCATATTCTATCTCATCCTTTTCAATCATTATGGACCTACATAATGGGATCGAGTATTCATCTTCCATATTTTCGTCTTTCTTTTTATCATTGTATTCTTCTAAATTGCTGCAGGATTGTGAGTTTTCTTTGTCTTCGTCTTTGTTATCATATTCTTCGAAACAATGATGAATGACATTGTTTCTTCATTTATTTCTTTCTCTCGTTCTAAAAAGAGTTCACCCTCGACTTCCGGAGTGATGCACCGTTGTATTGACAAAGAGTTTCCATGTTTAGCACTATTTCCTATAATTATGACGTTTCTTGACAATGATCCGGAACCATATAGATGTCTACCTCGGTTTCAACTCCATCAATGTCCAGTCAACTTTGGCATCTTCCGATTGTTCTTCCTAATCCACCTCCAAATTCCTTCAGTTGAATGGTAAATGGCGTATATTCTATTTCTAGTTTGTCTGCGTCCTTCTGTCAAAGCGTCAAAACCTCACTTCCTAAATCAACAAATGCTGTACTTCTTTTTCGCTCTTGTCTCTCAACTTCTTCTTTTATCGATCTGCACTGTTATTATGACTTCAAAATGTTCAATAAGTGTCACTAGTTGTTATACCAATATCGCAGACCCTATTTTCTATATATTCTTCTAAGTTATATATATTAAGTTTTTCAACATTAAATTTGAATTTAAAAATACTGAGCGTAAATGCAATACATTTTAAAGTATTTATGGTTTATTAAATCACAACAATTCTAGATGGTAATTATAATCTTATCGGCTTTCCAAGTAAAAAACAATTAATATTTCCTCCTATCATTGATTCAATTAATCACCATTGGTCATGTATTTATGTCAATCTTGAAAGTAATCAAATATTTTTCTTTGATCCTAGTACACGAAGCAAGAAGGGTAACAAATTTTCAGAAAAATTGACTCCCTATTTAAGAAAGTGTCTAATAGTATATCATATTTTTCAAATTGCAAATATCCTAAGCAAACTGATAGTTGGAATTGTGATCTATTTGTTTTCTACTACTGTACTTTTAAAAAATTTAAAGTGGAGCAATATTCTACATCAGAATTTGTTTCGATGTACTTTAAAAAATTTGATTATCGAACATTCAAAATAATTTTTATTTTGCCAATAAACTCATGTTTATATTGTGAAGAAACGAATGAGGAAGTAAAATGTCAAAAATACCACAAGCATTCATGTTTTATTTGCACTGGCACAAGACAACAAAGTTATATTTGTGAAATGTGCCATAATAAACAACAATACATAGTTACCCCCTAGACCAAAGTTATATCACTGCATCTGGTATGATACCTGGCAGTGATAATTTCATTCAATTTAGATTTCTTACTAACAATCCAATTTCATTAACATATCTTCCCTTCCTCTCCCGGTGAGAGTGTTGTCGCCTCTACGTGGTCTCACTAGACATGCATCACTTAAGCTTTTGAGGTATTGTTGATATCCCGAATGTATGTGTTTATAACAATTCAATATAATACGCGGATTTTAAGTACCGTATCTCAAATGTTTTTGTTTTATGTATGACCAAATGGCAACAAACTTTGTATGTGAAATTATCAATAAATAAGCAAAATCGGGACTCTTCCCTAAACACAATTCGATGCCATTCTTGCGCCCAATTCGCTCTTTCCTTGCTCCATTCTAGCCTGCGTAGACGGTAAAGTGGTGTAAGAAGAAGACATAAAAATAGACGATATGAACGCAGCCCATAAGACCTTATGCGGCTATAAACAGATGACTTTGACATCCAGGGCGACGTTGTTGCACCCCTTCCTCGGACCATTTGGACCATCTCAAAAAGTAATGTATACAAAAAATACATATAGGTATATATATACCTATAATAATTATAATAATAATAACAAAGCAAATGTAATTAAAAATTAAAATAGGTTTCCACTACCGATGAGAGCATTTGAAGAAACTCCTCAATTTGAGGAATTTGATGGTTTGATTTGCAACGTGTCTCGTAAAAGTGAATATCAGAACTTTTTGGGAAACAATTTTGGGAGGAGTGGACGTAAAGAAGATACCTTTGGATAAATACCGAGGATAAGGTAAATATTTTATGTTGTAGAAAAAGTGGCTTGCAGGTTGTGGTATTTTTTTCACCCGTTAAAGCCCTTACGCTGTCTTTTGTTGCAGGAAAATATCTTTCGCCGCCGATGAGTTCCCCCAAATTAAGATACCATATGATGCCTTACTATGAAAGTTCGCAAAGTACGTAGCCTTAGCTGCCTCTTATCCAGCTATTGTTCTAATATGCCTGATAGTGAAAATCGCAACAGCTAGAGATCTTTGAAGATACTCAACATGAGAGTTTCAGTTTTGATTTGGCATTACGGAAATCCCTAGGAATTTTATTGGTTCTTGCTCCCGTCCTTCAGGTTTTGTCGCAGAAGTTTCTGCGTTTTGTCAACATTTAGCTTCAGGGAATTAGTCCCAAACCATTCCACAGCGTCAACCATAATAATTTCAGTGCTCTTTTCAAGGTCACGTTTATCTTTCTATGTTAGCATGAAAAACGTGTCATCAGCGTATATATAGTACAGGATGTCCCGAAACTCAATTCAAAAATGTGTTTATTACCACTTAACTAAGAGACATGAAATTTTTTTCTCATTTTTATCAGAACAGGTATGGGTTGGCCTCACCCGGTGCCCGCTGGACGTTGAGTTTCGGGACATCCTGTATACACGGTGTATCTGAATGACGTGCCCAAACTTCAGGGGGTGATTCTTTAGGCAATTTTAAGGGTACTTTCTCATATAAACTATCAGCGATTTCGACTCCC